ATGTGATGGAATTGGCAAAAAATAAATGGCCCTGAACTCTTCCTACCTGGGAAGTCTGCAGAAGGGTATGGGTCCTTGATTTCATTGACATTTGATTCAAACTCATCCACTTTTAACTAAGCAGGAAAAAAAATGAAAAAGAAAATTAAGTGCGGCAACTCTGTTACAATATTGCTGAACAGTGCTACTTGGCTGAGACTAAAAGCAGAGCAAAAAAAGAGGATTGATTGACAAGCAACCGTATATCTAAATGAATGCAATTGAAATGGCATCCAGGTCTGCTTTATACACATATGAACTCATTTGTGAAATTACCATATGGCTTGGTTTATATATGTCTTTGTTATATAACTTTGGATAGTTGTTTTATTGAATAACATTTTATTACATAAACCAGGGGCTCCTAATATATTTTTTTTTTGCATCACATGCTCCTTTACTGAAATCTTAATGATACACCTCTCTTAAAAATCCAGTAAACACTAAAATAAACACAAATGAATAATGAAAACAATGCAAGGAAAAGCTGGGAAAGGTGGATTTATAGTAATAATGGGAGGGAGGTACACTTCAAATTTTGGGAAATTCTGCAATGCTTTTTAATAAAAAGTGCATGCTTTTTAATAAAAAGTAAAGGGACTTCTAGGTGTGAATGTGCCCTCCAGAATACTGTCACTGGAATGAAATAGCAAACGCATATCACACCTATTTTGGAACCAATATATCTTTTATTAATGATGTTTTGTCACCCTTGACGTAAAATAGTCAGCTTCTTTGGAGAAACACTGAATGAAGACTTCAGGCACCATATAAGATGGGCTCCAGTATGACTCCAAAAGCTCAGAAGACAAAACCACTGGGCCTGGTGACCGACCCAGATAGGATCCTTTTGTCCTTAAGACCAGCATACTCTCATTTACTGTTCTCAGTCATAGCATGATTCAAATGATTAGTATCAAAAACAAGAGGGTAATTCAATCCCCAAGGAATTTATTTCCCAGGAAAATTCTTCTGATGGGAGTGGTAACTTGTAAATAAGTCTTGCAAGCTTTCTCAGTGTTACACTTTGTTAAGATACAGGAATGGCTTTCACAAACTGCCCTTAACATTCTCAAAATCAGATGAGTCTTGTTTTTATTCCCTGCCCTGTGGATAATGTCTCCTAAAGTCTGGAACAGACTGGAAAAAAAAAACGTAGAGCTGAATTGGCTCTGAAAAAAATCTAGGAGGTAAATTATATATATATATGTGTGTGTGTGTGTGTGTGTGTGTGTGTGTGTGGTGTGTGTGTGTGTGTATGTAATATATATATATATATATATATATATATATATATATAT